AGGTATGCAAAACAAAGGTCCCATTAGTTAGACATTGGGTCAAAATGTGGTCAAACAAGCAAAGTATGTGTCAAACGATTGTTAACAATAGGTATTCCGTGACATCACTTCGAGTCACATCGAAATCCTATATATTTTTTATTCAAATCCAATGATTTACTTGAATTTCAAGGCGACTATTGTTTGAAAGGTATGTCACATATTAAATACTATATTATAAGTTATAGCCATTTGTGTAAAAATAATACTTAAAATACAATTAAACTAAATTGTTTCTCTTTTGAAAAATAGGGTGATTTGGTGTTAATTATAAATAACTTTGAGCTAACAATAGAAACAATTGTGAATTTAAATTAAAAAGTTTATTTCCCAATATATAGATCACAACATGTAGTCTAATTTTAATTGTGTTTAACTATTAAATTTTTTTATCGACATCCAAATACCATAAATAGAGTTATGCCAAATTGAGATTATAAAATACACTATGACTTCAATATTAAAAAACAATATTAAATTAAACATTGAATTGACCTTGAAATTATTGCAAAGATTTTTAACAATCATGTAATTCATGTTATGATACCATGTTCATTTCAGTGGTTAATCTGTTTATAATTACATTTAAAACTTAACATGTTAATTTAGATTTTTATATAATATTCATTTCTCGATAAAAGACTTTTACTGATGTCTACAATTAAAACGTTATACATTTGATAGACTTTAATAACACCATTATCTTATTTGTAACAAAAAATTATAGATAATGAACATTAAATTTAATTATTCATATGATATATAATTAGTCTTCATTAATAAATGGCACAAATTTGCCCACATTTTCATTAATTGTAGAATAATCCGATTGAATGTTTTCATTAATTATATTTGTCTGAAATAAATGTTTGTATTAAAGATTAAAATGCATACGAAATAAAGTATCATATCATACAGTGTATGACATAAAAAAATTACATTAATTTAATTGTGAAAAACTTGCCTTTTCTTCATTAGACTGAATATTCCTCAAAGTTAGACAAAGCGGACAATACAAGAGATTCATGAGACCAACCATACGTATTAAGACAGTGAAGTCCAGACCGTATTGTAATAATTGGCCGCTTATTAGTGGCCCTAAAGAGTAGGCCAAACACACCGATGTCTGTGCGATGGCATAAACACTGCCATAATGTGTGAAGTACTTCGTGTCCACTATATTAGCCAGAAATGGCATAATTGCCGCGTCTATTGTGCCTAAAATATTATATTAAATTTATAACACCATGATCAATTAAATTTAATACTTTAATGCATACCAATGCCTAACCCAAGACCAAAGTGAGGGAGAATTAAATGAGACATATTTGATGCCAGAGGTATAGCCACACAACTGATGCCAACCACTGCTAACGATGACACCGCTATAAACCATCTGAGATAATAATAAAGGTAAATGAATTAAATGTGTGTTATTTTAGTTGAATTAATAAATAAATGACCTCTCAGTAATGTTAGAGAAATATGAAATCATAAAATTAGTGCCAATTAAGTAACCAATGCTGTCCGGTACGAATACAGTACCTGTTTATGGGTTTAAATAATTGATAAATCATTTTGTATTAACACATGTCATACCCAACTGCCACTTCTTCGGCGTTGGTTTCATGTTTTCAATTAACCAAAGAGGAAGACATGACTCCAATATAGACATAGAGGTCGTCGATATTCCAATCATTCCTTGTATTAAAATTTTAATTAAGCCTAACTTTAATTTGAATGTAATTATTGCTCACCGATTGATATAATAATGTATTTATCTGATAATAATCTCATTATTGGTATGTCATATATTGTGCTGCTATTACTTAAAGACCAGTTAAATGTAATCAATTGACAAACTAGTGGAGAGAGAGAGAGA